ATCTGTAGTAACAGAGTTACCAGTCAAGAAATCAAACTGTCCATGAATGACTAATACAAGCAATTACAACAAGCTCCACACCCAAAAACAATCAATCGTCTTTACTTAATCAAAATTACCTCTAGATGGTCTCCGACATGGAGAACCAGAGCATCAGGAACGATCGGAACTCTGAACCACTGCTCGTCCTTCAGAACCTGAAGCCCTTCCACTTCTCCGTCCTGCAACAGATAAGTAATCACCGTTCCGTCCGAATGCGGCTTGAGCCCCAGAGCGCGATCGGGCGTCGGACACGGCGGGTAGAAGTTGAATCTTGCGGAGATCGATCCACCTTCTCTAACCGCATTCAGAAACGCGCTGTCGTCGTCGTCCAGGCTCAGGGACCTGGCCATGGCCCCGAGGGTAGCATCGTGGAGCACTAATAGCTTGCTGCTGTATTCGTCAAGAACTTCCCTGCAGGTAACAACTCCAAACCAATGTAGTCAAAATCGCGCTTTATATAAACTTACCTATTTACATTTCTACGTCACCAGAATACTTCTGTATGCAGTCGAAATTTACTCGCGATTTTGACTGCTTCTAAGAGCTCTACATATTAAATTGGGGGGTTTTACCTGAAATCGTGCGGCTGTTCAGGCCAATACTTCATCTGTCGCTTGTCTTCAGGCCATGTAGTGAGCCGCAGTCTAGCAGAGAAGTGACGAACTGCTGCTGCTACATCTTTGGTGAGTATCATGTCACTGCCAAAGCCTTCAAACCCATCAGCTTCCTTCTGGCATTTCAGCCTCTCTTCCATGGGAAGAGCAAGGAATTGCTTGAAGACCAGCTGCACTCTGTCCATGAGTGAACTCTCCACTCCGTGGTTTGTTACCATGACGCAGCCGTACGAGCTGAGAGCTGAACGAAGCCTTTCGAGCTCTGGTTTGGTGCCATCCGATGGAGTCGTGAGGCGATTGAAATCGATGACCGGAATCTCTAGCAGGGGGAGAGGAATCGATGGGTCCTGGCTCGGGTTTATGCTGTCGGTGTAGATGTACTTGGTCGGTGGGTTTTCGCCGGTGATTGCCAATTCATGAACAGAGTCCTCCATGGTTTTTGGCAATGGCTTATGAAATTCTGGCAAAATGGGCAAATGGGTGATGACAAATCCGGCGGTGAAAGGGCCCGTTTAGTTCTTGGAAGCTTGTTTATGGAAAGGGATATCAAATTGGCTGAAATCATGAAATGAGATTCTTTAAGACCAAAAATGCCAAATTGTGGTTCGTTTGAGAGTTTGTGGGACCAGTCCCCCCCCCCCCCCCCCCCCCCCCCCCCCCCCCATTGGTGCCTCGTGGGACATGGAAAGAGACAAAGAGTCAGTGGTGGCAGCCTCCTTTGGTGTTTTTCATTTAGGCAAAATACACTTGTATAACCATAATTTTGCACTTTGTGACAATAATAGCCACATTTGGAAAAATATCTAAATATAGCCACATTTTGAAAAGTAGTTGGACAGATTTAGCCATTTCCGTTAAAATCTTTAACACCGTTAGTGACTTCGTCCGTAACGTGAACGTTATGTTGAGGTGGATGCCAAATCAGCTCGCACGTCAGCCCCAACAAGACACACAATGCCACCCGGATGCCACGTCACATTTTAATTAAAATTTAATTGCTTAATATTTTTTAATAAAAATCTCATAACTACCGGCTACCCCCTTTGCTAAAAAATCCCACCGCCCCAAACCCTTACTCCTCCCAAACCAAATCTCCAGGTGCCTCCTCCGTCCCTGTTTCTTGCCTAATCAATTTCTCTCCCCACAAATCCCTTCTACCTTCCGCCGCAAAATCATCACCTTTCTTTCCCAGATTTCCATATCGAAGAAATCCCTTCTACCTTCCGCTCTGAGCACAGCAGAGCCATCGAGCTAGGCACCAGCTGCGGGGGCACCGGGATGGCGCTCCATCTCCACGACCTCACCTACACCATCCTCACCGCCATCGATTCCTTCGGGATGAACTGGAGTGGCGGAATTCATGCGGCGGGGTGAGGGTTTTTCTCCACCTCTACACGAGTCGATGTGATACTCTGCCTCGCCGCTGCGAATTGGTCGAGGGATAAATCTATGGCCATGCCTGCCGGGAGAAGGAGGGAGCGGACTGGGTGAGTTAGGGTAGTTGATTCGTAGCTGTGGATGTTGGTTGGTCACGCTTCTGGTCGGCGACGAAGCATATGGATGCGGCCGGTGGATTGTAAACGGAGAGAAGAAGAAGTGGAAGGGGAAGAAGTCTATAGGGCGAAGATCTGGTTTCTATAATTAATTGAGGGTGGAATCAATTGAAACAAAACCCTAAATTGGATCTTCAATGAATGACAGAACAGAGGTGGGAGGTGGAGAGCTTCAAGGAATCAAAGAAAGAGGAAGAGGATAAAGTATAAGCCGCCTCCGCTCCACCATCGCCGACGAAGATCACCTCACTCGTGCCGGAGAGCCGGAGGGAAACAGAGGCGGGCTGTCGGCAGAGAGTAAAATTAGGAGGAAGGAGAAGGTGAAGAAGCGGACTCTCTTTCCTTCATATTTTCTATATTTTTCTTGTAATTAATAACTTAAGTTTAAAACAAATTCCACTCTGGCATTGCCACTTAGACAAGACCTGGTCACGTTACAAGTTATCGGTTGTCCAGTTAGCAGTCATGACAGAACCGTTAAGCTGGAACATGCAACAAGGGAAAAGCAGAGAAAAAACAAAACTAGATGCAGAGGACAAATCGAAACAGGGGAAGCAGGAAAGGAGATGGAAGGGAAGCAGGGGGAATGAATGGGTTGCCGCCGGCCACCAGGAGGTGCCGGCGGCACCCTTTGAAAATCACAGCAGATAACAAGTGAGAAGGGAGAGAATTCAAAAAAAGGAGAGAGAAAGTAAAGCCGATTTGGAGGCTTATTAAAGTGAAATCTTACCTAGTTGAACAATGCTAATGACGATTTTTTCATATGCAACAATACCCAGATTTTTTGGTAACTTGTGCTTTAATAATAGGATTCTAACATGATATGAAGTAGTTTCATATTTGTATTGTGCTGAACTTTGCAAGTTATTATGAGTCTAACCAATCGTCAAGACCCACAAAATTAGGCACCTGTGGGTAGGGATGGCAATTACCCACCCATGGGTAATTATTACCCAAACCCAAGTAGACCCATTGATAATTGATTGGGTATGGGTGAAGTGCATATGGGTTGGGGGTTTGTAGATAGATTGGGTATGAGTATGGATATTGCTTCCATAATCTAAATGGGTATGGGTTGGATATGGATATCCATTTACTTGAGTGTGCTTTAACTACGCATATCAAAACTGGACCTGATGTGCCCTAGATTGGCTTAGCTCAGAATCACGCAGCGATGGATCAACGGTGGATGAATTTGACAGGAAACGATGGAACTAAAACAGACTAAATCAGCAACTTCAACACGCAAAGGGAAGAGGCTAATCTAGGTAGAACTACCACGAGATCAAGGGTGAATATCCTGATCTCTAGGTCTGCAATTCTCGGCTAAACAACCAAGAACAATAGCTCGCAAGCTGGAAAACTCCTCGGAGTAATTTGATTAAAACTCATAATCCGTTTTTACAAGAATGCAACAAGGCTATTTATAACGAAGGAATAACCTATTCTACTTCTAAAAGAACAAGGCAACGAAATACAACCTAAACAAGGAAACGAAATCTACTTAAACAAGGAAACGTATAAGCCAAGAAATACTTCTTCTTCCCCAAGCAAGCTGCCATAAACAGTTCTCTCTCCCATCTTCATGCCCTTCGATGGAAGCCTTCCAGGTAATCTTTCTTTTATCTGATGCCATGCTTTGTAGAGTAACAAACGTACTTTCATGTGGTATGAGTCCTCAAACTCGATTCTCCCCCATGCTCCTGAAACTGAGCTCCAAAGTCAGCATCTTGAACACTCCTTCTGCCTTTGTCAAAGACTGGCAGATTTCCAGTTGCAGGATAGCGTTTTGTAGGCCTTGAAACACCACTTTCCTGGCTTCTTTTTGTCGATCCAAGCACTCCAACATGTAGAAGAACATCCAAGCTTCATAACAAGTGCTCATCCTCGAATTTAGACTTAACCAATTGAGAGATACAACCCTCCAAAGTGGGCTTCCCAAGACTGTTTCCATACTTTGAAAAATTCCAGCATTGTTCTTGTTGACTTGATTCCATCTTTGTAAGATTAATTGCTTCATAAACGATGATGGAATTGATATCATATCAGGACCTATTTGTAAAACTTGAAAATTTTAGGTACCAAAATGTAAGGCCAGAAAATTTTAGGTACCAAAATGTAATTTTCCATCGCTATTTTGGGGACTTATATGCAAAATATATAAATTTAGGTACTAAATATGCATATCTATTAAGTTTAGGTACCAAATTGTAATTTGCATTTGGACATGTGTACAAACCAAATCCATTTGTTATAAACCCAACCCAATCCAAGTAAATGGGTATGGGTACAAACCCATCAAACTCTACCCATATCCATCTATTTGGATTTCATACCCAACCCAATTGAGTTGGATAGTAGAATACCCATGAGTATAGATAAAATTGTCATCCCTACCTGAGGGTTTAAAACAGGCAAGAAAATTATATAAGATAAAATTATTACTATGTATGTTTTTTCTAACAACTTGAGTTGTCAAGACAAACATCAAAGAGTAGTAAAATCATGGTATAACGCAAGGGAAGAATAAACATGTTTGAGTGGGATAATGGGGTGGGCATTCGGTTCGACCGAATCAAATTTATGCATATTGGGTCACCGAATTCCAGAAAACCTCAAACTGAATTGTAATTCGGTTTGTTTGGTCTAAACCGAATTATAATTCGATTCGGTTCGAAATTTCACACAAAACCGAATTTGTGAGGCCATTTTTATACTCCCTTTCAAATTATTTTTCACCCCTAATGTAAATATGCAATTATATGCATCATCAATAATAAAATCAAACATTTCAACACATAAGTCATAAAACACTAACATGATTCAAATATTTAAGTCTCAAAACAAGTACAAACCTAAAAATTCACCATTCGGAGTTTGAAATTATAGTAATTCGACTATTCGGTTTGGTCAAAAGGACCCCGATTTCCGAAATATGCATTTACCCCTTCCAATTTCCGAACCGAGCAACATTAATTTGGTTTCAGTTCTGTCTATATTTGGTTCAGTTCGATTTGATTTTACCGAACCGTATGTCCACTCCTATAATCAGAACTCAAACCAATATAGGGTTTACACCCGTATGAAGTGGTTAAACCAGGATGGAAAAAAAGCCCTCAGATTCTCGCCACATCTGCTAATCTCATCCCACTGTGATAGTAACCAACTTGGGCAACTACACTATACTTCACCTGCCTGTAAAGCCTCGGCCTTTCTCCACTAACCAAATCTTCCAATGGCTCAATTTGTCTCCCCTCCTGAGGGAAAGACGCTATCACCACAGAAATCCGCTCCCTCTTCGGGTTCAGAACCACTCTGTGAACCGGGCTCTTGAACTCCCCATTACTCATTATCTGGTAACAGAGTAGCAGTCGAGAATCAAACTCCATTGATGACTAATTCAAGCAACAAACAATCATCTTACTTAATTAAATTACCTCTAAATGGTCCCCAGCATTGAGGACGAGGGCATCTGCAACGACCGGAACTCGATACCATTGACCATCTTTCAGAACCTGAAGCCCTTCCACTTCTCTGTCCTGCAGCACGAAGGTGAGGAACGTTCCATCGGAATGCGGCTTGAGCCCCAGAACGCGATCGGCCGTCGGACATGGCGGGTAGAAGCAGAATCTTGCAGAGATCGATCCACCTTCTGTGAACGCGTTCAGAAATGTGTCGTCGTCTTCCAGACTCAAGGACCTGGCTATGGCCCTGAGGGTTGCATCGTGAAGCACCCGCAGCTTGCTGTTGTATTCGTCCAGAACTTCCCTGTTGGTAATCATTGTAGTCAAAATCACGCTTTAAAAAACTTAGAGTAGAATCGCGTTTTTCACTTACAGGTGTAGTAACATCTTACGTTTTTTCGACTTTTAGGGTCACCAAAGCACTTATATCGTAGAATCACGATTTTAACTGCTAACAACTCGATAACCAAGTTTCAATCTGCAAAAAAAATGGAGCTGCATATGAACTTGAGGTTTTATACCTAAAATCGTGTGGCTGTTCGGGCCAATACTTCATCTGTCTCTTGTCTTCAGGCCATGTAGTGAGCCGCAGTCTAGCAGAAAAGTCATGAACTACTGGTACATCTTTGGTGACCATCATGTCACTACCAAAGCCTTCAAACCCATCAGCTTCCTTTTGGCATTTCAGCCTCTCCTCCATTGGAAGAGCAAGGAATTGCTTGAAGACCAGCCGCACTCTGTCCATGAGTGAACTTTCCACTCCGTGATTTGTTACCATGACGTAGCCGTACGAGCTGAGAGCTGAACGAAGCCTTTCGAGCTCGGATGGAGCCACGAGGTGAGCGAAATCGATGACCGGAATCTCCAACAGGGGGAGAGGAATCGACGGGTCCTGGCTCGGGTTTATGCTGTTGGTGTAGACGTACTTTGCTGGCGGGTTTCGACCGGTGATTGCCAATTCATACTCCATGGTGTTTTGGAGTGGCTAATGAAATTGTTCAGAGCACTAATGGTGATGGATTGAGCTATATGGGGAAACAGGGGAGAGTTGAAATTCTTGCAAAATGGGCAAATGAGTGATGACAAATCGTGTAGGGCATGGCGGCGGTGAAAGGGTAATTCTTGGGACCTTGTGTCTGCGGATTTGCTCTGCTGGTGGTTTGGAAAGGAATATAAAATCGGCTGAAAAGGAGATTCTCCAAGACCAGAAATGCAAAAATATCATCGTTGAAATGTGGTCTGATTTGCTTCATTGAGAGTCTGTCTGTGGGGCCAGTTTTTGGCAATAATGGTTCCCAGTGGGACATGGAAAGAGTGACGGCATTGACGATTGACGCAGAGCATCAAGTTGCGTCGAAAAGTCCTACCAGTGATTAAGAGTTGCTCTTGTGTCTTCGGTATCAGGTGGTGAAGACTGTCCGTTGAGATCCATGATCCCAGGCACCAGAGAGCTTTGATTGCACATTCTTTACGCTCGTCCACCATTAGCCAATCAAACTCTCCGCGAGTTTTATTCATATCCATCTAATGTGAGGATTTCCCGCGTTAACTGGATCAACGAGTTTGATTGTCATCCCTGGTTACACTTAAGTAGGCTCGCTCGTGTAAGATCACAGAAAGGAATCTGAAATTTCGAAATTCCTAACAAAGGTTGGATACAATCATACAATGTTGCTGCATACACAAGGTTCTCACAGGTCATTTCCTTCATTTCTCCAATGAAAAAAAGAAGCCCTCAGATTCTCACCTCATCTGTTACTCTCTTCCCACTCTGATAGTAACCCAGTTGGGCAACTCCATTGTACTTCACCTGCCTGTAAAGCCTCGGCCTTTCTCGACTAACTAAACCTTCAAATGGTTCAATTTGTTTACCCTCCTGAGGGAAAGAAAGTGTAGCCATGGATATCCTCTCCTTCTTCGGGTTCAGAACTACTCTGTGAATTGGGCTCTTGAACTCCCCGTTGCTCATTATCTGGTACGGAGCAGCAGTCAAAATCAAACTCCATTGATGACTAATTCAAGCAACAAGCTCACACCAAAACAATCATCTTACTTAATTACCTCTAGTTGGTCTCCGACGTTGAGAACAAGACCATCTGCAACGATCGGAACTCTGAACCACTGCTCATCTTTCAGAACCTGAAGCCCTTCCACTTCTCTGTCTTGCAGCACAAAGGTAATCACTGTTCCATCAGAATGCGGTTTGAGACCCAGAACTCGATCGGGTGTTGGACATGGCGGGTAGAAGTTGAATCTTGAAGAAATCGTCCCTCCTTCTCTGATCACCTTCAGAAACGTGCTGTCATCTTCCAGGTTCAATGACCTCGCCATGGCCTTCAGGGTTGCATCGTGCAGCACTCGTAACTTGCTGCTATATTCATCAAGAACTTCCCTGGTAACAAATCGATATGATCGTCTATCATTTCCTTATCAAGTTTCAAGCTAAAAAGGAGCTATGTATGAGTTTTTAGGTTTACCTGAAATCATGCGGCTTTTCAGGCCAATACTTCATCTGTCTCCTGTCTTCAGGCCATGTGATTAGACGCAGTCGCGCAGTAAAGTCATGAACTACTGCTACATCTTTGGTAACTATCATGTCACTACCATACCCATCAAACCCGTCAACTTCCTTCTGCCATTTCAGCCTCTCTTCCATGGGAAGAGCAAGGAATTGCTTGAAGACCAGCCGCACTCTGTCCATGAGTGAACTTGCCACTCTGTGGTTTGTTACCATGACGCAACCATACGAGCTGAGAGCTGAACGAAGCCTCTCTAGCTCTTCTCCGGTGCCGATGGATGGAGTCGCGAGGCGATTGAAATCGATGACTGGAATCTCCAGCAGGGGGAGAGGAATCGATGGGTCCTGGCTTGGGTTTATGCTGTCGGTGTAGATGTACTTGGCCGGCAGGTTTTGACCGGTGATTGCGATCTCATGGACAGAGTCCATGGTTTTTGCAATGGCTGATGAAGTGTTGGGAAAGCTGAGGTGAACTATATGGACAGCAAGGGGAAGTTGAAATTCTGGCAAAGGGGCAAATGGGTGGATGACAAATCCGGACGTGTAAGGCATGCCGGAGGTGAAAGGGTCCTTGTAATTCTTGGAAGCTTGTGTCAGCGGAATTGCTCTGCTTCTGTTTGGAAAGGTATATCAGATTTGGCAATAATGGTACCCAGCGTGGAACATGGAAAGAGTGGTGGCAGTATTGAGTATTGACGATTGAAGCACCATCAAGTTGCATCGAAAAAGTTCAATCAGCGATTACTAATTAGGCCAGCCTGCAAAGAGGTCTCGTGTTCGAAATTTAGGAAAAACAGACGACACTTCAACGAGACAAATCACGATCATGGTTCACCGAACATTTTCGAGCCAAATCCACAAGACAAGGTGCTCAAACCTTTGCCTATGAAGGCTCTAAACCGCACATAAACAAGCACCACACGCAACAAGAGTGTGCAAAAGTAAACGACATGCTCTCATCTAAGTTGGTGGCGAACCAACAGTTTTGCCAACAGACAAATATAAGTTTCTAAAGCTACAAAAATACAGCCCTTGTCTATTCTCTTGTCAAAGGGGAGATGAAGGGAGTTAGGGTTTCAACACTCTAAAGCAAACAAGTACATATAACCAAGCCTCAATAGTTGCAGTTCCCAGAAGATCAAGGATTGGAACAAGGATACCATTGCAATCCTTTCCCATTCAGGATTCATCGCCAAAGGCAGCAGGGGTAAGCTAACACTAAACTATGACTAAGCTTTTGCTCATCTAGTCATCTACCAACGACCATATTAACACTCCCTCCTACTCAAAGGGTTGATTCCTATGTAAGGCCAGCTACCAAAGAGCTCACGTAAACAAATCCCCGACAAACTTCCATCACAACGATCATGCGGAGGTTCAATCTATAACCATAACACAGAAACCAAGAAGGCAACCATCCACAACTTAACAACTAGAGTCCACCAAAACTCATAGCCTTCATCTCAACAAGATAGGAACCAGTGCGCGGACATAATGGCATCGGTCTGATCTCTCCTCGAGGTTCCAAATGACCAACTTCTTAATCAAAGAGAAGAGCACCAATTATAGCCATAATCATAGAAATCCCTTTCTACACAGGATTCACTGTATCAGGGGAGAACTAAGCAAATACTCGGATTCGATTCACTAGTTAGACTTACTCCCACAGCATCTAGACCTTCTGACTACAAGGAGAACTAAGCTCATCCACCATTAGACCACCCTCTGATTCTAAGCTACATTACTCTAAATGGACAATTATCAATTACCAAAGAAACTGCAAACATACAATAAGCTATCTAATGAGCAGAATCAAAGCAACCTAACACAATCACAAACCACAGAATACCAAAAATTCCACAAAGCTGATATTTTTAGTAATCTCAACAGCAACAGAATCCGATACTCAAAAGGCAAATAACTACCATCTGTTCAAAAACTTCAACATCCATAGCGAAAAATAGAGAGCTGAATCAAAAAGACGTCACCCCAAAAAACGAGATCTCTCAATCGACGTTCTGCATGATATCATCGGCGGTGAACTTGGTCCCCTTGTCCTTATCCGCGGCGGCGCGGCCCTTCGCCTTGCGGTCCAGCAGCGACTTCCTGTCCTTGTCGAGCCTCAGCTTGGTGATCACGACCTTCGACGGGTGGACGCCGACGTTCACCGTCGATCCGTTCACCTTCTCCCTGGTGATGCGCTCGATGTGGATCACCCACTTCTTGCGGTACACCTGAACAACCTTCCCCTCGCGCCCCTTGTAGGTTCCGCGCACCACCTGGACCTCGTCGTCCTTGCGCACCGGCATCGACCTGGCGGAGTACTTCTGGCGGAGGTCGGTGGAGAGCGGCGCGCTCATCAGGATGCGGCGGACCGACGATGGCGCCGTGAAGTGGGCCTTCCGGTTCTTGCGCCGGGAGGAGGAGACTCTCGGATTGTACTTCATGGTTGCGGCGAATCTAGGGTTTGGGACGGCGGAGAAGCGTAGCGATAATGGGGGAGGGAAGCGAAGTAGCGGCTGCTTGGAGATGATATTACAGAAGCCGAAATCGAGGGTTTAGAGAGCTTTCGGCTGGAGGTTCGGGTGGGCCGAGATGGGCTTTTTTGGTTGGGTTGTTTTATTAATGGGCTTCGTCTGGGCTCAGAGTCGTCGATTCGTACGAGTGACAGACAGACAGACAGATCTGTTTCCACTCTCCACCAGCAAGGCCCAGAAGTCCACATGTGCTACTTGGGGTAAGAACTAGGGATTCAGCCTCATGATCTGTCCCTTGTCAGCTTAATCCGGCTTAGATTAATTAGGATTAGTGCCATCTATGTAGGTAGCCGGTTTAACCATAAGGGTGTAACTGTCCCAAAAGGTTACTCCGGAAGAGTCTGGAGTAGTGTATGTGTTTTGTATCAAACCGAACTTTAATCGTTTCATAGTGTTAAAATCGTCCATCAATTTGGGGTCAGTTACCAGATATTTCTGGTTCAACCGAGTGATAAGGTACATTTTCTAAAACATTGCATCGGTATTTAATTTTCAGGTCAAGGGTTCTTCATTGGGGATAAATGCTACTCTACGACCAATAAAATTTATCATTTTCCACCTTCACACATGATAAGAGGTTAGTCAATGTCGTTGCTAGTAGTGAATTTCCTAATAATAAACTAAAAAAAAAAGAGGGTAGTCGTAGAATTCTAGATAGGAGTGAACTTGGTCATATATTATTTAAACGAAGCTACTTTTTTATATCTAAATGATTGAACTGACTTCATATACAACTGGCGACTTCGAACGGAGTATATGATCCCCAACTAAACAACAACTTATTCCATTGCTCAACCTGACAAGAAACCTGAAATTTAGATATTTAGGGGTCGTTTGCTTGATGGATTTGGGTCATGGATTTGGGACTCAAATCCCAAGCATGATGGATTTTAGCCAAGTCCATTGTTTGTTGTCAGGTGTTAAATCCGTGGGGTCCACGGATTTGTTCTCTTTTTTGATCCAAATCTGTGGACCCCACGGACTTGTAAATCCCACATATTGGGGTGGGATTTGTAAATCCTTGATGGCTAGTTATATTTATAGCAAATCCATCATAATTATGGGGTCGTTTGCTTCATGGATTTAAAAATGAGGGTTTTGTAATTTAAAAACCCAAGGATTTATCAAGGATTTGAGGCATCATGGATTTGTAACAATCCTTTGTTTGTTGGGATGTTTTTATCATGGATTTAAAGGTGTGGGATTTACTACTTGAAGTAAAAAATAACATTACTGCCCTTTTCTATATGTTTGACATGTTTATGATATGTACACAAAACAAGGACAAAACATCAAAATTACCTTACTATCATTTTCTATATGTTTGACATGTTTATGATATGGACACAAAACAAGGACAATACATACTAATAAGCATAATGTTGCCACATGGACAATAATAATAAACGAGAAAATTCTGTTTTAACTTTTAACGTAACATAATCAATTACCAATTCTTTGTCCTCCTTTTCAAAAGTGACATATAACAACATATATTAGAATCGGGAGAACAAAGAATTACACGTTCCATGAAAAGGTCAAAGAAAACTAGAACACAAGAAATGATATAAAAAATCTAACTCATGTTTGCACATTAATTGAACGTTTATATTATTCATTTATTGTTAATTATAATGTATAATAGTTAAATTTGAGGGCAACTTTGGAATATTAAAAGTGCATGAGGGTATATGGGTAAAATCTTATCAAGGATTTATGCCATAGTCCAAATCCCACATCAACATGTGGGATTTATAAGTCCGTGGGGTCCACGGATTTGGTCTCTAAAAAAGGTGCAAGCAAACAACGGATTGTACCTAAATCCTTGATAGTTGGTTTTTTGGTACCAAATCCATGTACCAAATCCTTGAAGCAAACGACCCCTATATCATCAAATCTATCATGCAAACAATAGACTCTTCAAATACATGATGATACAAATCCCTCATAAATCCAAAGATTTTTTTGAGCCAAAACCCTCATTTTTCAAATCCAACAAGCAAACGACCCCTTAAAGTAGGATGAGGATGATTCGAGTACGAATAGTTATGACGAGAAAGCAAATGACAATGGTGAATGGTGATCATGGCCACAAGAGTCAATCATGATGTGTTGACATGAACAAATCCCAAGTTTTGTACGTATACCATACCTCCAAACCGCAGCTAATTACTCTGACAAATGATCGACATAACAACAAATTATAATCGTTCCTCCATAATTACATTTTTGTCTTTTAAAGTCCATTCATTTTGCTTGCTACGGCATACCAAACAAGTAAACAGCGACCCACTGATGACTCGACCGTCGGTCCCAAGATTACGAGTGCCCAAAACAGAACATGGCGACAAAGCTGTTACACGACATGCCGTGCTGCTAAAACCATGAAAATCAAAGCCGTTTCGATCTGCTGCCCGATTGTGTCTTGTGCTGTGGAGATAAGGTTGTGGCTCGTGAGATATATAGTGTAGAGTTATATATATTGTGGCTCCCGCGATATATAGTGTAGAGTAATTTTCTTTCGAACGAAAGAATAATTAGAATTGACATGTACATAGACATTCTTGTTCATTTCTTTCATTTATTTACTGGGATCTAGTCAGATTGTCCATATGTAACAAGTAAGTAGGATTAGTAGTTTAGTACGTCTAACTATGTTCACCGAACATCCTAATTAATAATTTTTATTGAGGGGGGAAAAGGTGAGGGTAAACATGGTTAATTGGCATTTTGATTGGATGGAGACATTCACTCAACAGTCAAACATATATGATAGTTACTGCAGTTAAACTTTCTGGATCAGTCAAATAACTAACTCTTTTTATGATGATATATAACATACACATGGATAGGTTCGTTACAAATCAAGTGTAGGAACTTATTTCTAATCAACCAGTTCGTGCATAGACTTATCGGTCATAAATCCGAACAAGTCCTAATTATCTCAAATTTTGGATACTAAATCATATATAGTGAGGATTAACCTATTTAAATGATTAGTCTCAAGATCATACTCCAACTATCAAGATAAGTGTTGTTCTACTTGTATATATCCTTGTCATTAATCGGGTCATTAACAAGTTCCCAAAAGTTAATTGAGCGTGATGATGTTCTGATGGGAAAGAGAGGCATTTAAGAAGGATAAAGGATGATTCTGCTCATGGAGATTTTGCAAAACTAGTGGCCTAGTGGTGGGTAACAAACTGACAAAATTACTGATTTAGTAATAGATTAAGCTCTCCC